GATTTTGCAACGTCAGACTGAAGCTGGGCCAAACACTAAGGCACTAAGGCTGAGATTTAAAGAGGCAGTACTATGCGTTTTACAGGCGCATAGTGCTGTTTTATAGCATAACCAAGTAACTATGCTAGCTAGATTTACTCCCACGAGGAGCTGCAACTTGAAGGTGGAGCTAAGTCCAATCAGGCGTTTTGCACAGCTGAATGGTTGCCATGGAGATTAAAGGATTTCTTAGACATGCATGAAAGAATCAAGTCAATACTCCAGGTATGTTTTAGATAAGGGAATAACATTGGAACATGCTGTAACTTAAAAAAAACATTGATTTTACATGATACTGCCCCTTTTTTAAAAGCCACATTTTCACATAGCTAAAAAAAGTCTACAACTCTTTCAACACATCGACGTTGTGCTGAGCTAATCTTGTAATCTAATATGTTTACGGACACAAGGGTGTTTGAGGCGCTCTCGTTTCAGACGAACCACTCACTTCCAACAGAAAGGCTCGCACTGCTGCGTCCAACACCTGGTCAGTGACGCCGGCCTCGTCCAGGCGTATCCTCTCCCTGACGGAGCGACTCCAGGTGGCCCTCATAGCCAGGAGGCGAGGGATCACCCTGGTCTCCTCGCCGCACCGAACGGCGCTGTGCGCGTCCAGCATCACGCGCATTAGCGTGGTGCCGCTCCGAGGAAAACCCCCGATGAAGATGAGGGGCGTGTCCTCCGGGAAGTGCGGCAGACTCTGATTGCCTGAGGCCATGTTGAGCTCCATCCAGTGGTAGCGGTGGCTTTTCCGAGGGCAGTCTATACTGTTCATGCCCAGGTAGAGCAGGGAGGCGGAGCAGAGGAGCACGCAGCCCAGCAGCATGTTGGTTCTGCCTCGCATGGCTGTTGGGGTCTTTTTTTGGAAATCAGGAGCACATAAAATAAAACTTGGGTGGTGTAGATGGATTCTGATGTGAGAGAATCCACGTCTTAAAATTTAACCGGAGTCATTTAGACATAATTAGATCAACAGAGAAGAGTCCAACAGAGATGAGTGGAAGTGAAGCTGAAGAAGTTGCAGGCTGGGATTCTTCCTCAATCCTCCACAGCCGTCATGGCGCATTCTCCGACTGCAGGACCCAAACCTGCCGCCGACCAGTCAGCCACGTCGCCTAGCCATGACTCCAACCTAAAACACACACACACACACACACACACACAGATTTTACACTATGAGTTGGAATAGTTTTATCAAGACTTTACAGTGTGACAAAGATTACCTCAGGATGAGTTTCACAGCCTTCTGAGTAATCCAGTAGGTTTAATTACCCAATTTACAATTCTAATAAAAAGCTCTAAAACATAGCCAAAGCATGAGTAAGTTATTACCCACTAGCAGGGAGTTGTGGAAACTGTTGATTTGGCAGAAACGCTGGAACATCGTCTCTGAGGGGCTGAAATGAAGCTAGGATTTTAGTTTTCTTAAAGCTGCTATTTTGCTGCCTCTGGCTGTCGAGCCATATCAAAGTTCACTGCGGCAGGCCGCGACACGTCCAAAGCTACCAATTACAAATCCGTCATGTTTTCCTTCTCACTGACAAATTCTGTCAAACTCAAACACTCAGCAATGCCAGTTTTAGATCAAGTTACTATTTACAGAGTAAGACATCCTGCAACTTCTCCATTTCATTTCTGCAGTGTGTACGGAACATTTCTTGATATAATCCACTTCCCCCTACTAGCATGGAAAATATTTTGCTAAAGCAAGTCAGGAGTTAGTTTATCTGCCATCTTTTTCAGACGGAAAGTGGTGAGAGTCTAACATCTGGATGCCACGTGGAGCTAAACGTCCCTGTGCTGCCTAAAAAGAAAATCAAAAACAGAAAACATCTGGATGAGGCTCAAGGTGAGGCCTTATGAGCCCTTGGAGTTTTTAATGCTTTTTTTTTTTTACTTTTATTTAATGTAACTAACATGGATTTGCTTGGCAAGTTTTAAATGATTTTTTTCCTTACTGAATTTCACTTAAAATCAATCATTTTCTGTCCTATAAAATACTTTAAATAAAAATTAATTAAGTTATAAACAATTTAACTACAGAGGCTATTTTGCACAAGTTGCTTGCACATAATTGCTCTTCAGAAATGTATCTTAAAGCTAAATAAAGCACACAAAACTACACCCAACTGGAGTAACACAATAGGAAAAGGGTTTCTGTAAAGTGTAACGATTGTGAGCAAGTACAATGTGCACAAACAGGCTTCAAAAAAGCCACAAAGTCGTCTGATCACTAAAGACCAATAAACAAGATCAGTTAAACAAACTGATGACTTGGGATCACAGGTTGCAAACAGGTAATGGGGCAAGTTGTGGATGGTAAACAATTTTAAGAAAACAGGAACTAAGAACTAGAAGAGCCGACTTCCTGCCAACGTTCGAATGGGCAGAACAACCCTTTAAATTTCCTTTCATCGGTATGAGTTAAAGGCTAAGAACATAAATATATTTTTTTAATCATAGCAGTCTGTGCAACTGCAGAGTGCAGCAAGATTAAATCTGCAGCTTGATAGATGCATAAATAAAGAAAAAATGTGGGGGTTTTGTCAGAGCAAAGGCATGTTTGCATGCTCTGTACATGTTTAGATGTAGACATGTACTGAGCATTGTAAGAGTAAAAAATCCCGTATTTACATCCTTTTTTAGTTTTCTTCCATAGATGCTTATATAGTTTATTAAACCATTTGTATTTTCTTTTTTGTGTGTGTGTCCAACAGCACTATTTATCAGAATTTATTCGAGAATAAACCAATCCATATAAAGGCCATGCTGTTTTTTCATTATAAAAACAGTTTTTTTCTTCCCCAATTATGATCCTGTCACATACACATCTTAATAAACAAAGGAATCCTATGCAGTTTTGAAAAGTGGAAAATTATAGGATCAGATCAGTTTTTTCTATAATTGGGTAAGTATGGAGAACTAAAATGAAGTATGGAAAATATTCCAATGTCAACGTGATAAATACAGGGATCTGTAATCAATCCCTACCATCTAATACACATATGTGATATGTTCATACCTTGTTAATTCTTTTGTCATTATCGTTTTCTTCAATCCCATTTTGTTTTCTACAAAGCTTCCTCCCACCATTTTTCCCTAAAATAGTCATTTTCCTTCCTTTCTGCATTCTTTCCTTACAACACTTCTTCTTTCCCACACTCTGTTCTGCTTCCTTCTTCTCATCAAACACCCACTTGCAACAATCTTTGTTTTAACATCACAATAATTTTTTCTCTCTTCCTTTTTTTCAATCGGTTTCTTGCATCCTTTCAGTCTATTTTCCTTCCTTCCCGTAAGTCTGGTGTTTGCAGGTTTCGCATTTAAATTCAGACGACTATAGAAACATCTGCTGCTGAGACATGGAGGACTTTTGTTTTAAAACAGATGCTGACAGTAAGATGTGTCAATGGCGATTTGAAGAAGCGTGCAAGTTTTAAATTAAACGATCCCCGGAACCAGAGCCCCAGGCCCAGCAGCTACACACATCTGGCCTGGTTAAAAACCCCCTTAACTGCGTCTCTAAAAAATTCAGCAAAGAGCCAGGTGAACGACCTGCCTGCAAACCCACCTCTCTCTGCGCCATTTAACCTCCTCTACTTGCTGTGAAGAAACTCATTCTGTCTGAAGCCAACGGCGGTTTAAAATTAATAAACATGTCAACTCACCAACGTCCGTGAAACTGCCGAAAATTCGAGGAAACGGACAAGGACCTTGATCTAAAAAAAAAAAAAAAAAAACGCCCGATACACACGGCGGTTGTCCTCACGAGAATTTCCCCGTTTTTCCTTTCTCGGTTATTAGCTGCTCCACGTCACAGCAGTGATATTGACAACATGTTGGCATTAAATGAGAGAATAACTCGATGTTTCGCTGCTTATCCCGGCGTAACTTTCACAGAGAAGTCGAGAAGCCTTTTACCGTTGAAAAGGAGAAAAAAAAAAGACGTACCGTCGACACGAGTGACACGAAGCAGAGAGAACTCGCCTCTGATTGGGTAACCGCTAAAGCTGGATTGTAACACTGTCTGTGATTGGTGGAAGCGTTAAAGGGGTATTCCGCTTCTTTGACAGCTCAATTTTTTCTACCACTAGAGACTAAAATTACTTTACCACATCGATTGGTTTGCTTTCAGCGAAAGCCCACCGGGGAAATTTAATCACAGTGAGGGATTTACTGGAGGTTAAAGCCGCCACGTTTAATTTAACCATCTTTTCATTAGCAACAGATTTTTGGTTTGCTCTAAAGTTACATCTTCTTGAAGAATTAAAGCCCTCTATAGAAGGCCAAGTGTTACCAAAACATTTAAGCAACGTTGTGAAAGCACAGTAAATAAGACATCAAGTAAGCACTTCTTAGATAAATAATGAGAGGCATAGATAACAGAAAAAGTGTTTCACATAAAATAATAAAATAGTGCCCTTTTTATTAACACTGGATGACAATAACTATGCATCATAATATTTACAGATATACAACTGGTGGTAGACCTATGCTGTCAAAAAGACAAAATGGCTGGACCCAGCCAAGAGAACATAAAGTCAATAACACATTACTGCTGCTTTATGTTAATGCACTGAGACTGAGTATGAAATAGTTTTATACTACTGGGATTACATAAGCTGCAGCCAATCTATTAACCGTGTGCATTCCAGTCTGTAAACTCTGAGCAGCGTTGCCACTGCTGTGGTGCTGTTTCCTGCCTTCATTATGACCTAAATCCAGAGAAATGAAAGGTTTTGCAACTCAAGGTTGTATCAATACATGTGTGAGTTCTACTGAGTCACCACAACCACAAAATACTGTGAAGAAAACAGGAAATTGTATTAAATGTCACACATTTTAAAAAAACAAATGAAAAACAAAAGATGCTTAGATAAACTCTGAAATGTGTTGTGATTTCTGGACGATATAAGTTTCACCAACTTAATATTTCCCAAAAACATACAACAAACAATGCCTTGTAAAAGCATGTATTTATTCACAAATATCAATGTATATCACTGGGAAGTACACTGAAGCGGTATAATATAAAGCTACAAAAAAATGCTTTACACCAAACCATGTTTATGTTATGATAGTCCAGTCAAAGTCCATCCAGTCTGACGTAAATCCAGCAACTTGGAAAAAATAAAGTAAGCATACCCCAAAATAGATGCATCCCTAATGACTAATGGTGCTAAACATAATAGCATTCCACGCTTTTTAAATTTTTTGGTAAAACAAACAAAAAAAAATGCACCATTTTCCTTCCACAAACTCATTTGTGCTTCTCTTAACATAAAATAATAAAATCTAGTGAAGCGACAATCTGTGAACAAGGAGTACAAATAACTGCAAGGCACTAGAAACAGCAGCCTTCAGTGAAATATTTTTCTCTCTTTTTCTCAAGTGGAGCTCTTGTTTTCTGCCACTGACCTTTCTGAAGAGTTGTCTCCGTATTTCTCTTTTTGTCTTCTTATTTGTGTCCCGTGGAATGTTGAAAGGTTTAAGCGGGCTTAATGAGGTCAAATCAGGCTAAACCCTTGGTTTCAAGTGGCAAACACGACTAGCTTCTTTTCCTCTGTGCTTTACTTGTACTGCATACGGCAGTACATTTAAAAGAAATGAATAGAAGAAACATGATGCCTGAATGGTGAGAGACTCACTTCTTATCAGTCTTGAACGAAACCTGAAACCTAAAAGAACTCCAATAAGAATACTCCTGTGATGTCAAATTTCAACATGTTGAAATTTGAAAACCTTTATTCCCATCTTAGTCTTTGCATAAACAAGTTTTATAAAAAGAAATGTAGCTGAAGCATATTTATTCGTTTTTATTTTAGTTTATGGGCATATCCAGGGACTTTTCTTAAGAAATTTATGACTTTCTGTTTACCAAGGGTAGAAATGTGGCATAAAAGGTCATTGTTATTAAACAGAAAAGAGAACTGGTTCAGAAGCACAATAAGAGAAATAATTAAACTGTTTAATATGACAAAGGTTGGAAGAGGACTCAACCACATTTTGCCACCATGAACAGTGAGCACAATGGTAAGTAAGGGAAGTAAAACAATAAATGTACAAATCTCATCATTAGAGAGCTGCAGCATGTTTTTCACTGTGGGTTAATTTTACTGCAATATAACATAAAATTATAGCAACACTTTCCGCACACCTTTATAGTTTAATTTCTTTCAGAAAAGAAAAATCAAAATTCATATTTGTTATTTGAAAAATTACATTTTTTATTAGTATTTTAGGTTTAATGAGCCAAAAACAAAACAAATAATCTCTAAGTTTTCTAAATAGCTGTTTTAGGAATTTCAAAATTTGTAGGTGCTTCAACCGTTCTCTATTTTTTCAAGGCTTTATTCTACAGACAGGCTGATCAAATTATCACAACCAAACGAAACATCTTAGTCCAAGGCGAAGCTATAAAAATAAGGCAATCATGCAGTCAGCTGAAAAGTTTCAAGAGCTATTTTCTTGCTGAAATAAGGAAAACGGATATGTCACTATGAAGGAGAGGTTGAAGTTGTGTTAAGAGATTTTGATGGGATGCAATGACAAACAAAAGCTCTTCTTGTCTTACATGTGAAGCTTACAGTTTCTCTAGCTTTACACAAAGATGTTTTCTATTTTAAGTTGTAGACTCATGTCCTCTCTCTGCTTTTCTTCTTTGTCATGAGTCTACTCTTTACTCTACATTTGTATGCCAGCTCTTTAAGGAGCTGAGTAAGAACAGGAAACTGACTTGATATGCAAACATGAAGGCAAAAAAACAGAAACCTTCACACTTGCAACCTGAACATCCTACTTCTGCTGCAAGAGAACAGCAGCAAAACACAAACTATGCCAAGTCTGAAGCTGAAGCTTGACAGGAAAGCAAGAGATACAATAAGGTTCCATCTACCATCAATATTAAAGTAAAATGAATATTGTGCTTTTGGATTGGAACAAAATTATTTAATGTATGTTTAAGGCTGCAGGCTACATAAATGTTATATGACACATAAAACTGAAGATCTCCTCCCCTTTTGAGAGCACTTCTCTGTGCAATATTGATATCTTAAAGAGATTCATCTCTTCTGTGAGAAAGTGAGCATGTTTTGGTCCAAACTGTTTTCATTACCATATTACCAACTCAGCTCTTAACTGCAGTCTTGTAGTCTCTGTGCATCCTGTCTTTGTGTAAACAGTTCTGCAACGTGTTTAGCCACGTAACCAGTTCTTCACATGGAAGTCACCGTGTCACGACTGTTCTCCGCCTTCATCCATCTCCGCATCAGCAGCCGCAGCTACGTTTTCCTGCTCCGGGTCACCTGGGAGGACATCTGCCACGTTCTGGATGAGCTCCTCGATCTGCTCCTCCGACAGCCGCTCTTCACTTTCCTCCACCATCTCAACACAAGAAAGTGGAGGCCACATTTAGTCAGGCCTTTTATGACACCTTACAGTTTTGAGGGATTTTAACTTTCTACAGAAAACCAATTTGTAGACCCAAAATTGTGTAAAAATATTTTTAAAAATAAAGGTAAAAAAATGAAGAAAATGAAGTGTAGATAGAAGGAAACAGGAAGAAGAAGAAGGAGATCACAAGAAAGCAATGAAGTCCAGAGATATAAGAAAAAGAAGGACCCCTGGAATAGGGGAAGTACAGAAAGAATGAGGTCAACAACATGGGGATGAAAGGATAAAAAGAAAGAACACAAGGAAGAACATAAAAATACAGTCATGGAAGGAAAGAGCTGGAAAAAAGACTGGGGGGAAAAACAGATGAGGAAAATATGAGAAAGCAGAAGGACAAAAGGAAGCATACTAGGGAGAAAAGGCACAAAAAGACAGGACACAATATTTAGAGATATAAACTCTGTAAATACAAATATTCCCCCCATATTCATATTTTCCTGTTCCATAATTTTCCACCTGTTCAGCCTAAAACAAGACTTCAAACGTTTATGATTTCAAACTGAAAACAAAAATCAAGCTGTTAGGAAGTATTTCCAGTCTCCAGTTTCCATGATTTATCCAAGTCCATAAACTGGCTAATGAATCATCTTGCTTTGTCCCGGCATTATCTGGCAACAGCCATTATGATTTCAAATGTACTTCCAATTATTTTTAGTTCTGAAATTATTATGTTTTGTGAAATAAAAGAGCAGAGTCTCAAAGAGTTTTGGTGTCAAACACCAGCAGCAGATTTGGCAGACAGAGCCACCATGAAAATGCATCAGTAATATATAAGTAAAGCTATTACACAGATTTTAATGGTGATGGTGAAAAATACTTACAAGCTGAATTTCCACTGCAGTCTGTGGTCGGTGGTTTAGCAGCTGCAGTTTTTCTGCCCTGGTGGAAGGAAACACATCAGATTCAGACTTAAAAAGAGAGCAAGCATCTAATCAACTCTACAGAATCTGGCTGCAAAAATTTTAGGGCTTCTGTCAGAGCTTACTGACTTTGTGAGCTTGTGATGCATCATAGAGCTGAGGAACTCCTTGACGATCTCAGGACTTTGTCTGCTGCACGGCGTCTTCGACAGGTACTTAAGAGTCTGACAGAAAAGACAGAGGACGCTGCTGCCATGGTTTTTATAAATAAACATGACAGAAAAGAAAAAAGAGGCTTGTGCTTACCTCATACATGATAGTATTGAGGTTCTGCTGCCCAACACTGTGTTTGCTCTTCCCGGCATCTCTCCTCTGCTCCTTGAGGTCTGTGAGGAGTTTGAACACCTAGAAAACATGAAGGAAAACAGAAAATCCACTTAGAAACCAATGTGATGCATTAGCAACAACAAAGTTGTATTAGGAGGGACATGCTGCCTCACCTCATAGTTGCTGAGCATGGCAGCATTTGCATTTTTCCTGAGAAGACACAAACACGTAACGGTTCATTTATTTCATGCTTCAAGTTTTTCTGACTAAATGCACAAGTGTTGTATATTTGTTTAAATTACTTTAGCTGCTTAGACAGAAACATGGAGAAGAGTCAGATTCCGTTTTAGACGTTGCTTTTATGTAACTTTTCATCCAATTCCCAGAACTAGGATTATTATTTTTTTTACTTCCTGGACAAAGCCACTGAAGAGGTTACTGTTATCATTAAATCTATCACCCTCTTTGTTTTACATAAATCAATGGTACTAATGAATTGTATTGTTTTTAGCTGATTTTTCCCCTCTAAGCAAAGCAACTAACAAAGCTAGCACAAGCACTTGTGGCTTTTTCTCTATCATCGCCTCAAGCCTTTTAAATAAATGACTTAATACATATTTAACTGAACTTCCTTAGATAAATAACATTTTACATTTAACATTATACCAAATATATTAATATGTGAATCATGAGACCACAATCCGTTCATGTGATTGGACCGTTCTAGAATAAATTGGATTCATTGATCCAAATCAATATAAAACCCAACTGGACTCTGTATAAGGGATATCAATTAGTTTGCATTGGAATGACATTATTTTACATAATTTGGTGCTTTTTAAATAAACTGAGCTTTACTTAGAACATATGTAAAAATGCGATTTCATCAGTGAGAATGTTTATTATAAGTGGCCATTTGTTTTATCTTATAATTTGCTATAATTAGAGTAAATTTAGCTTAGTGTTAAAATTCAACTCTAAATCCGCCAGCAAAAAGTTAAATATCTGACAACACGAACCCAAATGACTCAAATGAACCAGTAATTTAAAACCAGCGCAATTAGCATTAAAATTGTTAAATGTTTTCTTGAGGATGAATTTAACCGGAAACCAAAACGTACTTTCCTACAACGTTAGTTTGTAAGATCAGCAACATATAATTGCAACTCAAATGGCTACGTGGACAAAATAAATTAAAATAATAAAGACAAACTTACACTTCCATTTCGCCCGCTGGTTTGGTCCGTTATTAAAAAACTCCGTAGGAAACCGGAGAATTGCTCAAACGTTCCGTTGACTTAAAGCTACGTGTTTGGTTTGTGCTGCCCCCTTCTGTCGGTAATTTTTACTCCTAAATGGGCCCATAGAAACACCTGCATCGAATTTAATACTTTTATACATGTATTAAATGTATAAACTTAATATATTAAAATTATTAGATTTAATGTAATAAATTACCTTCTGTTAAAAAAGAAAAAGCCTCCAGCTCAAATTAATTTAAGCTGTCTACTGAAAATATTCAGTACGGTTCAGTACACTGTATTCAATCCTGCCATAAAGATAGATTTAAAATTAATTACTTACAATTCAATCCTAGTTGAAACGATTATTAAAACATTGATAAAAACTAAAATCTTAGTCTCTAGATAAAATTGGTAGATAAGTTCCAAAAAGCATTGACCAAGGGTGTCTGAACACAAATCCAGGGCACACTTCTAAGGTTTTATATATTTCTTTATTTGAAAACCATTTATTTTTCTCCAGTTTCTTAGTATTGATCAGTCATATAAAATTGCAAAAAATACAATGAAGTTTGTGATTGTAAGATGACAAGATGTGGAAATTTTCAAGGCATGTGAATAGTTTTACAAAGTAAAGCACCTTAAGTGTGTCTTTACACAGAAAAATAATCTAAATACAAAGTCAGCAATTTCTGCTAAACATACAAAGACATAATTTCACAACACACATTTATCTCCATAAAATACCATACCAACTTTATTTATAAAGCACTTTAAAACAACCACAGCTGATACAAAGTGCTGTACATTAAAACACAACATAACNATGAAAGTGTAATGACAGTCTTATTCACCCCCCTTCAAATAAAGTGTTACCAAAAACTTCAATGGATGTCAGTACATTTGCATGGCTAAAAGTATTCCTATGACGTTTTTGTTTCTTCTCTACTTTCCTTGTAGTGGTTTGTGTTTGCTGACGTCAGCAGACTATTTTAGAGCTGTTGACAAATTCCACTCTGACTTCTCAGGGTCACACAGTGACAAGCCCTGCTTGATGAAGGGAGAGGAAAAGAGCATAAACTGAAAAAATGGGGCGAGGTAAAATTTCAGACACCAGGGGAGGCTCCTGCTGGAAACGTAATCAAATTCAGACAAACCTTCTTCCAATCACCAGACCAGTGTAATCAAGCCCAGACTCTTACCCATTCTCTGCACACACACACAGACAGACGCACCCACACACAGAGTAAATGATGATGGTTATAAAAGGATGTGAGGTTAAATTACCATGTATTGCCTTAGGTTCTTTCTGTGTGTTGTTATTTCATCAAGGGCTCATCTTGTCAACTCTTCTGATTACTTTGTGTTTTGGCCTGTTGAGTTATGGTATCAGCACTTGAGAAAATAACCTATCTGTCCTGAACTTTATTTGCTTGAATCAGTACAAGAAATGTTATTTATGTGTAGATCCACCAACTACCAAAGACTAAAAGGACATCTTTACAAACCTTTTAAACTGTATGATTTGCAGAAATCTGAGGTCTGGTTTCAGGTCAAAGTTCCAAACTTTGCAATTGGATAGTAAACAGATATTTTATAATACAATTATGTTTTTGATTCTCATGCAGATCAGGAAAATACTTAAATACAATACCACATAATTCTGGACATACTGTATTTTCAAACTGTGTTTGAACCTTGCGTAATACACTTCGCAGGCATATGAAACAAGCATATCAAGCTAAGCTCATCAAACTTATCTCAACGAAACTAAGCTGTGAGAAGAAATTTGGAGGAGCCTTGGAGGACCTTTCAGGCAAATGTCAGAAAAAAATGATCAATTATGATGAAGAGATCAGGTGCAAAAAAGTGAAACAATCTTAAAGTTTTTCTGTAATAATTTTTTCTGATATCAGTGAAGTAAATCATTAAAATGGGAAACCTGTTGCTCCAAACTGAGCACTTTGCACTCTTATTGGTGGTTTCTATAGTTTCTAAAAGTACAATATAAGATAGCTCTTTCAAATATCAGGCTCCTTTCCTGTGGAACCAACTCTAAGCTTAAAACCTTCTTTTTGATAAAGCCTATTGCTAGAACCGCTACAAGACCAAGCTAAAATAAAAACTTACCCACTTCTTACTACTCTCCTGCTAAATGCGTCAGACCACAGATGAAAACTAGTCATGGCTAATTTTGACATAATTTGTAATATTGTCCCTATTGAAAAATAGAAAATTCATGATTTATGATTCTTAGTCTTCCACATTTCTACACAATGTGCAGCCACTGCTTCTATTAAGCATAATAATAATAATAATAATAATAATAATAATAATAATAATAATAATAATAATTTGCTTCTATTAAGCAGTGGCTGCACATTGCAGTTGCTTAATGGAAGAAGTAGCAATCTTCTTCTGCTACTGCTCTACCTGACCAATTGGTAGAAGTGATTGGCCAGGTGTTTCTCTTTCGCTGCAACACCTCTTGTTTGGCTTTGTTTCTTTCCTCCTAAATATATTCACTAAAAGAACAACTGTTGTCTTTAGCACAGCTAATCTTTCTTAAACTTGAATGTGTATCATAAAAAAGGATGTCTCTTAGAAAAAAAAATTAGTAATTTCTTTCCCATGTTGCCACATGCTCTTTTGGGAAGAAGGATTGCTGCAAAGTCTACAACTTAATCAAACTGACTGGGTTTTCTTAGATAAGCAACTTTTTACCAGCTGACAAAACTGAATCAATTGATTGTAATTGATTGTGAAACTGTCTGGACTGATTTGAAAACAAATTGGATATGTCTTACAAAGTGTCTTGAAATAAAATTAGTAAGAAATTGTTGATAGATTAATAAACTAAGCTAAACTGATTTAAGTAACTGATGAGCCAAATTTTTGTACGTAGTATTTCTGCCCTTTTTTAAAAGTTCTGTAATCATTAGTGTGACTATCACCGTAAAAAAAAAAACTATAAAAACTCACCATGTTTGAGCTATGAGCTAAGATTACATTGTAATTGCTAATGATTAGATGTGCATGTAGTCTCTCCTCCATTTTTATCCTGATTAAACTGCTCACCCTGTCCTACCATCACTTGTGGAAATAAACACAAAATCCATACATGTGAAGAATGTCCGTATGTCAGGGTATGACAAGTCTCATTTTATTTTGTCCCGTCTCTTTATTTTGTAAACTGACCTCCATACTTGATGATGACGATTATGGAGAGTGTTTCTGGTCCTGTGAGTGCCAGACGTGAATATTCTGTGTGCTTTAATGTTTGAGTTTCCCCACAGTGAGGGTTCTCTGTGGGAATGCTACACTGCTCTAATGGTCTGATTCACAAATCTACAAAGACCTCTGCTGCTGTGAAAGGAACAGCCAGACAAGCACAATCTCTTCAGGGCAGCATGAAGAATGACTGACTGTTATAATTGACAGGCCCACATGTGTGGTTGAGTGTGTAACAGAGAGAAAGAGAAGAAGAGGTTATTGCAGGTATCCATGAAGCTCAATTAATTGCAGTAGGGGTCTTCATACCCTGTCAACAGAAAAACCCTGAGGCCATTAGTTTCTCTAATGCAAACACAGAGAGGCACACTAAAATCAACTGGTGTCCTGTATCACTCCTCTATAAGAGCCACACTTTGATGGTAGACTTACCCTCCCTCCATGAAAAGGCTGAATGAGTGTTAGTAAGTGCTAAATAAATTTAAATAAATAAATTTCACACTTAATTAGAGTTAAGGTACCAACTCTCCAAAAAGAGTTAAATTAACACTTTCTGGTGTGGACCAATATAGACACTTTAAAAGTGTTGAAATAAAATCTGACAGAGTTCATTTGGGCCTGCTGGATTTGCTGTGCAGATATGAAGGTGAGTTATACTTTCTTTAAACTTTGTGACTAACATTAACTTTGGTTTATGCTAACAGGCAATATTCTTAGACATTTGTCTTACAAAAATATGCTATTTAAGTATCTAAACATTTTAACCCATTCCAATGGAAAACGTTTTTACCTTATTTTGTATTTATTTTCAAGTATAATATGTGTGTTTATTGTCATTACTGTCAAACAGAGACCAATGGGTAGATTACGGTTCAGGATTTGCTTCCTCATGCTTAAAAGTAGGGCAGCATTGTTCAGGTTCAAAGTTGTTGCTCTTAGAAAAATATGATCATGTTCCTTAAGGTCTCCATGTTATTTAGTTTTATTAATTTTGCATGCTTCTTGTGAAGAGCTCAGATAGGATGGTGTTTACAGAAGTGTGTACAGGCGGATCAGCTGCTCGGCTGTCTGGCTCTGGTCTGCTCACTTGTTCCCATAAACTCTCTCTTTCAGGCTGAATGCAGAAGTGATTCCATGGAAATAACACAGGGACAGCTCCTTTATTTACCATCTGTCTCCCCCCGGTAGCTTTAGGCTGAAGAAGCTGATCTGAAGTGAAGGCTGGAAACTTTGCTGTGCGGTGTTAGCTTTAACTTGTCGCAACGAATATTTACAAGTCACCGTCTTCTTAATTCAGGATCGTTTGGAAATCTATGAATACTTAAAAACCCATTATATTTGGAAAACAACAATGTTCATGTTATTGCTTTATTTGCTTCTGAAATATGTCTTTGTCTTTTCTAGCTGTCATGGGAAAGCGGAAGCAAGAAACCCGCATTTCGCGCATGCGGATACAACGTCAGCAGCATACGTGCAAAGAGCCCATTTGACTTAGGGGCCCCTCTTGCTGCCAAGAACATCAGCACCACTAACAGCATTTCACCATGGATTTAATGGAATCTGGGAGAGGGGGCTTAGTTTAATTGACAGAGTAGTCCAATGTAATAGTAGTTTACTAAGATCCATTACTGAACAGCTAAAACTCAAAGATTAAACTCGTAGCATCAAATTGTAGCTATGGTAAAAAAAACAATCTAACTCTGAAGATTGTTCTTTGAACTTTTACAAAGTAATCTTGCCTGCTCCTTAAAATCTTAAATTTAAATGTTAAACAATTTATAATCTTTTAATTTATCTATGCTGAGCACACTAAATCAA